AAGACAGTGTTAAATTGAGCAAAATGAGGAATGGCTAAAATGCATGATCTATTTGGTATTTTGAAAAATAAAAAGTAGAAATATGCGTTATATAGGTATGGTCCTACACTATATTATTCAAATATAGCATGATAGGTCCACTTTCAATTGAGATGGATTCAGTACTTGTGTGTGTGTGTGTGTGTGTGTGTGTGTGTGTGTGTGTGTGTGTGTGTGTGTGGAGTGTGTGTGGGAGAGAAAGAGAGTACTTGTGTGTGTGTGTGTGTGTGTGTGTGTGTGTGTGTGTGTGTGTGTGTGTGTGTGTGTGTGTGTGTGTGTGTGTGTGTGTGTGTCAGACCTCATGTGCGAGACCTTCCTTCTTCATCCTGGCTGCCTCATGTCTCCACAGCTTTAGACACACTCCAGCACCAATGAAGTAGAGTGCCATGGTGAGGAAGAGGAAGACCATGGCTGCTGTTTGGCCGGCTTCAGTGCGACAAAATGCCCCATTAACTCCATTATTGAAGACTGGCATGTTGCACAGCCCCCCTCGAGTGGTGTCCCTCACATACACTATCCCTGCTGCTAAGTAGAGCACCCCCAACACAAGGTTGATGGAACACTCTGTGACTGGCCACCAAGAAGAGTCAAGAAGTATGGCTCTGTAGTATATTGTCATCCCAAGAACGACCAAAATAACAGTCACTATCCACGCTAGACCAGCCACCACTAGGACAAAAGGTGTTTTGGGGCCTGTGTAGTAACCATCACCATGTCCATAGGCACTGGCACCTCCACCCAGCCCCCCAAACATCTGTGGCTGGGAGTATCCATACATATTGAACCACTCGTTGTCCTTATGAACATAAGCACAGACGCAGGCAAACACAGCAGCTCCCAGCAGCAGCTCCACACAGCCCAGGATCCTCAGCAGGCCAGCCCAGGACTTCATATAGGCGTAGCGCTGGTGGTACTCCTCCACCCGTTCCAGGTAGGTCAGAGCCGAAAGATTGGTAGGCACAGCAGACGCAGAGTCAAGAGCTTCAGCACCAAGCAGCAGCCCGTCTCTCTCCTTCTGAGAGGTGTAGCTTCCCCCAGAGCCGCCGTAGGGGTCCCGATATGACCCTTGAAGATAAGGAGATGGAGGGGGGGAGTTGGGAGGTGAACAGGGGACTCCTGCTGTGGTGTGGCAGTTGGCGCTCTTACTAGAAGAGGGGGCAGGGGAATAAGAGGCAGGTAGATGTTGTGAAGGAGGGGGTAGGACCCAACCCATGCCGTCACCGTTCCCGCTGTTGCCACGGAAGAAATTCTTGACCGAGTCAGGAACGAAGCGGCGAACCGGCTTCATATCCATGGCATCACAGTCATCCTCCATTGGCTCATCATGGTAAGGGGAGGGGAAGGATTCAAGCCCAACAGCTGGCTGTTCAGGTAGCGGGGGAGGGGGAAGTGGGTCTAAGCTCACTGCTGGTACTGTTCCATGCAAGGGTTCCGGGGGGGGTGGAAGATCCAGGTCATGCCATAATGAGCCCACAGGGACCTGGTCATAGTGTGGGATGTCCCGCAGCCGGTCGAACCTGGACACAGAACCGACTCCTCCTTCAGACATCTGGACCTGGAACGGCTCGCTACAGAGGGAAGTGGAGAGGATTAAAACAAGGGATTCAACATAATTTTTTCAACCAATAACAAAAAGCAGTAATTACCAATATCTCAGGGCCAATTCTGTTAACAGATATTTTCACAATTGGATTTGTTATTCCACAGCTGTCGCTTAACGTTATCTATCATAGCTAACTTATACTATTCTTAAATGCAAAAAAAGACAAAGTACAGAACCAGTTCTACCAATGTCTCTGTGTTTAGGGGCTATACATTTTGGAAGGTGCTAGTGGAGCCTCGCAGCTGCAAAACTGTGGCGGCTTACACTGCAGGTTCGCCGCGTTTGGGGGTGCGGGACCTCCAACAAGCCGTTTAGGACAGAGAGTGAATACACATACTATACAGAGATGCTGTATGAGAAACCAATGTGATTTTGGAAAATTGCACAATGTAAATCTATTTTAGCAGACCTCAACAATGGAATTATGATCAGTAGAAATGACCATGTCATGGGACCTTTAAAAATATTTTTTCAAAACGTGATAATAATTATATTGGTTAATATAATATTCCTGAGGTCTTGTAACAAGGCGCCATCACTACAACAAAGTACAACAAAATCACTCCTTTATAAGCCGTGTATCTACCGTCCATTTGTTTTTCTTTATTAAACAAGTAAACGGAAGAGCGTCTGAGAGGCCTTTTTGCAGTTTTTACCTTTCTAAATGGTCTAATGGTCATTGGAGCGAGTGGCGGGGCGAAACTCACAGAAGTGATTTCAAAACAAAAGCACTCGTGTGCTTGGAACGGTGATAATATTATAAACATAGACTGTATAAACAAGGAGAATTTAGCGATCACAACGAAAACAGCCAAGACACATATTGAGCCCAAAAAATGGATGTTATTAAGGGCTGTAAATATATTAAGGCTGTGTCTAAAATGGACAACATGTTAGGAGATTTAAACTATGCAGCGATTCTATACTGCGGTCACTCAGCCGTCTCTCGAGTTTGTTATTATTTTTTCTGCCATTAGTTCTTCTTGAATTTGACACTGTTGGACTCAGTACTAGTGAAACAACTCCCACAAGTACTATGAAGTACTTACTGTGTACTTTTCCAGTAATCCTCTGCCAATGTCCCCTCCTGAGAACAAGAATGCATGTTTTTCTTTCAATAAGCATTAAAAAACATTTCTTCCTGAGACTGATATTGTTGGACAGAGTATTTTGAGAGGATATGGTAGACATAATATCCTATATACTATCAGCATTTTTACACCTTGGAAAGTCTTTAGAGTCTGGCCTGGATAGCTGGTCACAACTATCCTTCAGCAAAGTGACACACTCTGCTTGGCCTCTTATGTTGCTGCTGTTTTTCAATATATGATTATTTCTCGCAGATTCCATCAGTCCCAGTCAACGCCTCCAGCACACTTCCAGTGTCTGACTCCATATGATATTGTCCTGATGCTGTATACAAGGGTGATGCCCCATGATCACAAAATGACCCCTCTAAACTCTTCTCTTAACTGTAAATTCCTTTTCCTGCACCATTTTAAGGCTTCAAAACAGGCATTTTTACTGTATGTGTTAGACAATCAATTACACAATCAATGGCCCAGAATTGTACTTTATAAACTATGAATCTTGTGGTGCTTGAAAAAAGACACACTGGTTAAGCTGGCCAGGTTATATATGCCTTTTTTGGAGCCCTTTTTTGCAATATTTATTCAAATGTCACTATTTATTTAAACAAACCACTATCTGAAGATAATACAAGCAACCATAAAACACCCTTTACTAGAGAACCATTGAATCCATTAATAATTTATCCGTCCACAAATCTTTTCATCTGCTATATTAATAAAGTTGCCACGTGTTTTCAAATTTAAGTTAAGGCACTATCTGTGCAGGACATTACAAATATTTTCATTTGCAGTATTTTATTTAAAAAGTGTTCAGAAAGACTGCCTCAATGATATGCTATGAATTTATATATCTATATAATATCAATATTGTTATTAACTTAACAAAAATTGGTTAATTGCCATGGATGTGGTGTTTGATATAGTTCACGTACAATTTCAACTATGTTAGGCAGAAAAACGTATATATAGACTAAACCTTTTTTAATAATTAACTATAATTTAGAAAGGTTTTTGTGAGAAATCATTTCAAAGTAAACTTTTTTTCGTTTTGTGTTTAAATTTGAAATGTTTGCACACTACATTATTAATGTATACATTTTTATCAATTTTTTTAAATTATGAATCCATTTACATTAATGTATTTCCTTGAGGCTGGGGAAGATATCCAGCATGTAGTTCAACATGCAAATGTTGTAATACAAGTCAGTATAAGTATAACATGGAAAAGGAAATAAAATAAGTTTAGTAGGAGGATGTGGATTTATTTTCTCTCACCTTGTAATTACACAATCAAACCATCTTTAATTTAACTCTGGCCTTCACTCACAAAAAAACATTTTGTTGAATTGACAAATCTTTCGAAGCTCTATTGACTGACATGCGATGACTGGGACTGATGGAAGAATCTGAGAGGAATGAACTAGGAGCAGAGAAATAATCCTATTTAAAAGACAGCATTGTCATAAGAGGCCAACAAGAGTCACAAGGGTGTGTCACTTTGCTGAAGGATAGTTGTGACCAGCTATCCAGGCCAGACTCTAAAGACTTTCCAAGGGGTAAAATGCTGCTGCTGGAGTACTGACTGGAAATATTGCTGATTATCATCTCACCATATCCTCTTAAAATACTCTGTCCAACAATATCAGTCTCATGAAGAAAGGTTTTTTAACGCTTATTCAAAATAGCAAAGAAACATGCATTCTTGTACTCAGGAGGGGACATTGACAGAAGATTATTGGAAAAGTACACAGTAAGTACTTCATAGTACTTGTGGGGGTAGTTGCACTAGTACTGAGTCCAACAGTGTCAATCTCACGAAGAACTAATGGCAACAAAAAAGAATTCCCTCATCAAACTTAGCAGAAGTGGCTTGATTTTGTTCTCAGCAGGGGACTTTGACAGAGTATTTCTAAAAAAATACACAGTAAAAGTACTTCAATGTATTGTCAGTAGTAGGCTAACTAATACAAAGTCAAACAGTATCAATTTCATTAAGAACTAATAGTAAAATTATATTTGTATCATTCATCAAAGATAGCAGAAGTACAACACAAGTACTATGAAGTACTTACTGTGTACTTTTCCAGTACTCCTCTGTCAATTTCCCCTCCTGAGAACAAGAATGCATGT